GACCTTGATAGTGGCACTAGGTGATGTAAAAGGTACAACATATTATACTTGGGATCTGTCAATAAATTTCGATTTGTGAGAGAAAGTAAAACTTAAGTATAATGTTTAATGCACCAATATAGTAAAAGGGTGAGTATGAAACTTAGCGAACAGTGGCATGATTAGCTATTAAAATAAGGGTAAGACGTACAGTATGGAGACTGTCGTGCACCGTATACAAGAGAGATAGACAATTCAAAGAGTTGAAATAGTTGAAAAGAATTAGCACAAATGTTATCGAATTCGATGTTTTGTTCTGACAATTGTCATAATGTTGTATCTTGTACTGTATGAGTTGAGCAAGTTTGAATATTGACGAAGTAATGTGATAACTGAAAAAGTATAATTTTACCTAAGTGGGGGAGCTTACTATTGTTGATTGTGTTTATCGGGCATATAGGATCACAATTTGGACAGAGGGATAGTTGCGAATTTGATATGGATTGTAATATTGACATTTAAGTGAACTTGGGTATGAAACGACTAGTTTTGTCATATTTAGTACTCCTCATGTGCCATATGTGATGACAATCCTAGTGGGGAGACTATATTTGTGGATAGATTATATAAAGGAGATGTGATATTTGTTTAGGAAAGAGAGACCATAGTCACTCTACTAGTATTGCCGATGTCTAAATTTAATGTTATTATGTGCATGGACTGACTATCATTCTATGTGATGCACAATTGTCAGGTAAGGGTATTAAGATTGTTGTTCCTATGGTATTAGAATGAAATGGAAGGGTATTCACGATTTACATGGACGAGGAAGTACCTTATATGAAGGCTTTACATAAGATGAATAGAAAGTGTTCAACACATCTATCTATGATTTTTAAGACACTAGAGTAAAGATTCAATCTCTTGGGATAGTTGTAGTTGTTAATAAGTTTCCAAACGAGTTACAAAAGGCGTATGTAGTGTAAATAGGAAGAAAAAAATATAAGGTGAATATAACGACGAAGTATTCATACTCTCTTTCCTAAGGTATAGCTCCCTTAACATTCGAGGACGAATGTTCTTTTTAGTGGGGGGAATGTAATAATCTGAAATATCTTAATATACTTATTAATTATTGGATTAGAGAATCAATTATTATTTATAGCGATTGGATCAAATACTAAGCTAGTAAGTGAAAGTTATTATATATTTATATAAAATAGTATACTAATAATTTTCTAGTAGACCAAATTTACAAGTATCACATATGATTGTTGATAAATTAATTAACTAATAAGTGTTACCGATGAGGGAATATCTTGACAGTAGTAATAATGACCCATGTAATACTAAACAATAAAAATAGTAGTAGATTTCATTAGAGGAGAAACCAGCAAATATGAATATGAATTTCAGAACAGATAGGTTATATTAGAAGTCATTGTTTTGCCACATTTTTCCATTCATGAGAGTGTCGCAGTTGACATTGATTTGGGTACCTATATTGATTAATTAGACTAAGGGTTGAATTTGTTTTTTTGACTTGCTCTAAATTCTGAGAGGATATTCAGTTAAGGGCTATTGACTGTTCCAAACCCATTTTTGTGTAGTTTGAGGTGATTCGGATTCCTGAGAGTATAGTTCTAAGTTATCAGAAAGAGTAGATTGTGAAATTCGAGGTAAGTGAGACTTTAAGCTTTGATACTTGCTTTTCTAAAATTCGTTTTGAAAGTGTGTTATTTCTGCCTGGTCCATGTGTTGGGACAAGCATGCACTTGACAGAATCGGTGGTTTTAGACTAGCCATAAATATATCATCTTATGAAAAATACGGAAAAAGATATTATTTTATAAGTTGTTTGATAATTTGATATGGCTGTGAGCAATGTGTTGAGTTTGATACGGCTATGCGCCATGATGTTGAGTTTGATAGTTTGATCCGGTTATGAGCCATGGTGTTGAGCTTGATACGGTTGTGCGCCATGACGTTGAGTTTGATACGGTTGTGCGCCATGATGTTGACTTTGATACGGCTGTGCGCCATGATGTTGAATTTGATATGGTTGTGCGCCATGATGTTGATTTTGAAACGACTGTGCGCTATAATATTGGGGCATTGTATAGCCTTTGTACATCACTCGAGCATTATGTATGCTTCTTGATATATTTGGAGCATTGTGTTTGCTTCAGTGAGCATTGTGTATGCTCTGTTACATATTTGAGGCATTGTGGTGCCGTTGTGGACTCGTAGGTGTGTTGGTAAATTTCTTTCACTGCAATTATGATAAGCCCTTAGTGGATACTCTTGTTGGGTAATTCTTAATAATTCTGTTGATACACATATATTGTCTTATTGTATAATTATCATATTTACTATATCATTCGTGTTGTGGTGTGTTTGCATTTTTTAATACTTGTTCCAGAGGTATTTGAAATGGGGGGTCGAGAATCTTACTGGGTTATATTTACGTATAGCTCACTCTTTGCCTGCATCTCTATGTAGATACCGTTGCGGGAGATAGAGCTACTGGCTGGCGAGTTTGTTCGAGGGGATCCTATTACTGAGGTGAGCCACCACATTGTTCGTGGAGGCTTTCGTTTGAGACTTACCTAGCTCGTGTTAGTTATTTCCTTTTTCTTTAGGGTTTGCATACCCGTCAATAAAACTCATGTTGCTCTGTTAGATGCTCCATGGTCTTAGTGTGGGATTTGGTCTAGAGTTTTATTATTTGAGTAATTGTTGGTTTTTATATCAATTGACTAAGGTATTGGGTGATAATCATTTCCTCTTTAATTATTGATAATACTGTTAAGCCTGCATTTTTTTCTCTCTCAGTGTTTATGTAAATAGTTAAACATTAGAGAAAGGGGTACGCCTTGCAAGTGGTGTTAGCTAGGTGCCAGTCACGTCTAGGGGATAGTTTGGGACGTGACACTTGGGAGCCGGTTGTAGAACTTCGGAGCGAGGTAAGTCTCCTTTTTAACCTTGTAAGAGGGAATTAACCCCATATGTGAACAAATAGTTATGTGCTTCTAGTTGTGGGGGCTACGTATGCACGAGGTGACGAGAGTCCGTACGTAGCTACTAGCTATGCCTATGTCCGGGTAGTTTTAGGCTTATATCATGCATGGTTGATATTGTTATTGTTTTATGTTTATTGTTTGCCTTGAGACGGAGCGAGATTGAGTTTGCTTAATAAATGTTTTGAAAAGAATTGAAATTGAGGAAAAGTTGAGATCTTAAAAGTTTTCATTTGAACTTCGTATTTTGAAAAGAATGGAAGAATACTATAATAACTTAAGAAATCTATGTGTGACTGCGTCGCAAGTATGATCCGCGAGCGGGGAAAATTCCTTAAATTTATATTTGACCGCGTCACATGTATAATCCGCGAGCAGGGTAATTCCCTAAATTTATATTTCAGTGCATCGCATGTATGATTCGCAAGCGGGGTAATAGATGCATCTATGGTTCGCGTCGTTCGACCCTCGCCAGTGCACAATTTACTTTTATGTTGGATCGAGCCGTATGCCTCGGCATTTCCTATATATTATCCTCGTGGAATCGTGCGTAATATTTGGCAAGAAGCCAGTGTATNTATATATATGCTCCGGTTGAGGAGGGAACTTGCTAGTTGAGAGCTTGAGTAAATTGTAAAGAAAGGAATTGTACCATGTATTTTATACTTGTTTATTTCATATATTTACTTTGCCTCATATTTATTCACCTCTTTACTGTACCCGATATTTTTGGACCAGTAGTAAGTGTCGAAGTTAACCCCTTGTCACTACTTTTTTGAGGTTAGGTTGAATATTACTGGGTATGCGTTATTTTCATACTCATACTATACCTGCTGTACATTTTGTTGTACAGACACATGTAGGTCTAGTGGCCTTGTGGGCGCAACGACGTAGTTGATACGGGGACTTAGGTGTGCTGCATCTTATGGGATGATCCTTAGCCAGCAGAGTCTCCTTCAGAGTACTTGTATTTTCTTCTCTGTCCAAATTGTATTCTGGATAGTTATTGTATTTTATTTTATTTCCTAATAAATGCTCATACACTTGTGACACCGACTTTTAGGATGATTATGAGATACTCAGTATTAAGATTTGAACATATTATTAATTATTCTGTAAAGTTCATCTTTTTACTAGTTAAATAAGAAGGAAATTTATGATTTCAAAATATTAAAATGAGAATTTAATTAACTATGTAGTGTTAGTTTGTCTGACAGTGGTGTCCGACGCCATCACGATCTTTAACGAATTTTGGATCGTGACACGTTGAGACAGCTAAGGCATGACATTGTTGCTTTTACGCTTATAAGCAACAAAGCAATAGTGAATTTCTCCCTTGAATTTGCAAGCTTTAAAATAGAAGATAAAGAGATTCCACGACCAACGACCTTGAACTTGGGTAGGAAAAGGGTTGGAGAAATAGAGAATGAGGATAAAGTAGCAATCAAGAAAGAAATAAAAGGAGAAGAAGAAAGAGCTCCAACGACGGCAATGACAACTCCATTAACACCATCAAGTTGGTCGGCAACTTGGGAAAGTGAAGATGGGAAAGACATACTTTAGGTGCTATCACCATCATCACTATCTCCACATATGGCCTATTTTCAACTTGTGAGACATATGTACTTGACTTTAAAGAAAGTGTCTCCGATGATTTCAATAACTGTGATTAGGATTCAATAAAGATGTGTAGAAGAGGGGTGTCATTGGATCTTGATTTTTTTAAATTTTAATTTCATCGATTAAGCATTTTTAACTTGGGTTATAAAACAAATGGGGGCGGGTGGGGAAAAAAAGCGGCAAGTATATTGTACTCATATGTATAAATTAAAATCAAAGAGTACTTTTAACAATAGAAATAAAGGTATTTTTGGACCGAAGGATAACTTTACACTATTTATCATTTACTAATAGGGATAATTTTGATCCTTTTTATTTTAAATTTTAAAAACTAATTTGAGGAGTATTTTAAGTAAAATAATAATTGTCCCTCACTCACACTTCAAAAAATTTTTTCGAATTGTTTTTAGTTTTTCTAAAAACATTTTGATTTGATTTCGAAGAGCTAAGGTTCTTTTTTACATAAAGATCTCGTCGGAACCCTAGGAAGCCAGAAGCACGTGTTGAAGATGTCACGAGCACTAGTCTTAGTGTCACTCCTCCTCACTGTGGCCATTCTCAGCGATGCCTTCTCTACGGAAAACCCTACGGATCGGCGAGTCCTCGTCTTGCTTGACGATTTCGCCATCAAATCTTCACACTCTCTCTACTTCAACTCCCTTCAATCCCGAGGTTTTGATCTCGATTTCAAGCTCGCGGATGATCCAAAGATCGCCTTACAAAGATACGGCCAGTATTTATACGACGCCTTGATTCTCTTCTCCCCTTCAACTGATCGTAAGTTTTCTCTGTCCCTGCTTTTCTACATTGCTCTCAACATCTGGTATTTGACGCGAAATAATTGCCAGATATGTATGTTAAGTATATGGATAAGTGTGAGATTTAGAATTTGAACAAAATGAGAGCGAATAGAGTGAAATAGATATAGAAAATCCATATGCCCAACAATTGAGGTGTATTTGATTATCATTTCCACTACCATTGATGGTAAGTGTGTGTGTCTATCTTGTTCTCAACATCTCGAATTTGATGTCAAATAATTATCATGATATGCGTGTTAGTATAAACTATAAAGATAAGTATGAGTCCAGAGAACCTCTGGTTTTAGATAATGAACAATTTGTGTTAAAAGACAAGTTATTTTTTTGGTATTGTAATATGATGGGTTCGAATGGAGCAGAATAGATGTAGAGGATAATGCACTAAGCTCCCTCTATATGCGGAGTCTGGAGAAAAGTTGGTTCACATTGTTTTTACTATATGCAACATTTCCTTATATTTCTGCAAGAGGTTGTTTCCACGGCATGAACCCATGACCTCTTAGTCACATGGGGACAACTCTTACGGTCTTCTATATTTCATGAACATATTGGATTAAATATTTATGAAAGTTAGAGAACCTCTAATTTCCACATTGCTTTGAAGTATTTGATGCAAAAAATATTATCATGATATGTATGTTTGTGTTGGGATAAGTGTGAGATTCAGAGAACTTTTGTTCTTATAGAACCGATAATTAATGTTAAAGGAATCTTTTTTTAGTATTAGGAATTAAGCGGAGGTGAATGAAGTTGAATGGATACTGAGGATTCATGTTGATGAAATTATATATAGTGGAATTAATATAGAACATTTCATTACACAATATTTAGAGAGCATCTAGTTTTCTCCAGAATGTACCTTAAAACAAATTGTTAAGTATTGCAAATAAATGGTCCTAGGAGTGTCATTAAAAGCTATCTTTTCGTGCTTAAAGTGACGAAGCAAGGAGTTATAATGTCACTGGTGAGTCCATGCGTTTCAGTCAATGACGCACAAAGTGTTTCAAAAGAAAAGCGGAGGTTCTTCTTTGAATCTCAATAGGGTTGGATTACTGGATTATTGCATTGTTGTTTATTGGAGGCTAAAATTTGTTATTCCAATTGCGATTTGATCATCATAGTAGTGCACTTCACTTCTCTCTTTTTGCTTCAAGCCCCATGAACTGAGGGACTTGGTCACTTTTATGCGCTTTTTTGCTTTGAGAACACTGGTCTCAGATAGAGTAGAATGAATATTCAAGATTCATGTGGCGGGTCCTAGCTAGTTTGAAATTTAGATGTAGTTGATGGGTGATTCTGATTTGATTTACATTTTTGAACACAAATGATTACAGTGTTTGTTGTTCGGGAATGCGTTAACTGCTTCGTGGGTGTTTAAGTCGTGCCTAAGAGGAATTAAATGCACTCTTTTGAACTTAAAACATTTTCTTCAGGATTTGGGGGATCAGTTGATGCAGCTGATATTCTGGATTTTGTTGATTCTGGTCATGATTTGATTATTGCTGCGGATGCGTCTGTCTCTGATCTAATTCGAGAGATTGCAATTGACTGTGGAGTCGATTTTGATGAGGTAGCATATTCATAATATGTGCATGTTTCTTGCTTTCTTGCTTTCTTGCTTATCTTGCTTAGATGAGCTTGATGTGATTCAGAATTGGTGATTAATATCCGGATCTAGGAGCCTTCTACAACTAAGATATGAATAGGAATCCGATTTTGTTTAGTGACTTTCCTTGTTTTTCTTAATTTCATTGTTATGAGTTTATTTTACTCCTCTGAAGTTGAGAAACTAGCAATTTTTTTGCCGATTTAGTTATTCTTTGATATACGATTGATAATAGGATCCAGATGCCGTGGTTATTGATCATACAAGCTATGCAGTTTCTGATACAGAAGGGGACCATACATTAATTGCCGGTGATGATTTCATTCAATCTGAAGTCATCTTGGGTAGTGAAAAGATTAAGGTACACACAGTAATTAATCATGATAATTTGATAATAATTGTAGTAATATTTGAATTTCATTCATTTGTGTTGATGTTTCTTGCCTTGATAAAACATAGAGTTTTTGGTGCAACATGACAGTGGAAAATGTGATAGTGCCTGATGCCATGCTTAACTTCCGCAGTTCATTAGCACAACATGTAATGCTTACACTTTTTTTTGGGGATGTACACGTCCACCTTTTCCCTGACTTATATCAATAAACCTTACCTTGTCAAAATAATAATAATAATGATAATAAAACTTAGTTAGATAGCGGTATGAACCATTCAAAATTTTCTCACTTTTAAGAATACTACTTAAGAGGGCAGCATTTGAATGCTTGTATCAAGAACTTGGGGACAAAGACAGTGACAAGACGCTGTTCAGGCTAGCCAAGGCAAGAGAGAGGAAGACACGTGACTTGGACCACATGAAGTGCATCAAAGACGAAGAAGGTACAATGATGGAAGGAGCACATATTAGACAAAGATGTAGACATACATCTATAAACTCTTGAATGAAGAGGAGGACAAGATGATTGTGCTAGGTGATTTGGAGCACTCCGAGAGTCGACGTGATTTTGGGTATTATAGGCGTATTAAGGTTAAGGAGATTGAGGGGGATATGCGTAAGATGAGCAGAGAAGAGCGATATGGCCATGTGAGATTTCAGTAGAAATTTGGAAGAGCGCGGCAGGGCAAGTTTGGAGTGGCTGACTGAGTTGTTTAATGTCATTTTTAGGACGGCAAAAATGGCCGAACAATGGAGGTGAAGTAGTGCTGTTGTACAAGAACAATGGTGATATTCAAAATTGTAACAATTAGGGGTATCAAGTTGCTAATCCACACTATGAAAGTTTGGAAAAGGTGGTGGAGATGCGAGTGAGGAGGAGTGTGTTTATTTTCGAGAACCAGTTCGGATTCATGTCGGGGCGATCGACCACTGAAGCCATCCATCTTGTGAGGAGATTGGTAGAGCAGTATAGTGATAGGTAGAGAGACTTGTATATGGTGTTCATTGACCTAGAAAAAGCTTACGACAAGGTCCCGACGGAGGTTTTATGGAGATATTTGAAGGCCAAAGGTGTACCTGTAGCGTACATTAGGGCGATGAAGCACATGTATGATGGAGCTAAGACCGTGGTTAGGACAATGGGAGTGAGGAGGAGTGTGTTTATTTTCGAGAACCAATTTAGATTCATGTCGGGGTGATCGACCACGGAAGCCATCCATCTTGTGAGGAGATTGGTAGAGCAGTATAGGGATAGGAAGAGGGACTTGTATATGCTGTTCATTTACCTAGCAAAAGCTTTATGGAGATGTTTGAAGGCCAAAGGTGTACCTGTAGCATACATTAGGGTGATGAAGGTCATGTATGATGAAGCTAAGAAATGGGAGGAGAATCGGGGCAGTTCCCAATCGTGATTGGGTTACACCTGGATCAGCTCTTAGCCCGTTTTTATTTGCTTTGGCGATGGATGTATTGTTGCAACACATTCAAGGAGAGGTGTCATGGTGCATGTTATTTGCAGATGACATAGTACTAATTGACAAGTTATGAGGCGGAGTTAATACTAGGCGGAGTTAACACTAGGCTAGAGGTTTGGAGATAGACCCTAGAGTCTAAAGGTTTTTGGTTGAGCAGGACTAAAACAGGATATGTGGAGTGCAAGTTCAGTGACGTTACTAAGGAGGTTGACGTGGAAATGAGGCTGGATTCACAAGCCATTCTTAAAAAAGAGTTTCAAGTACCTTGGGTCAGTAATCCAAGGCAATAGTGAGTTCGATGCTGATGTCCCACATCGTATTAGGGTAGGGTGGATGAAATTGAGGTTGACATCCGGTGTCTTGTGTGATAAGAACGTGCCACCAAGACTTAAAGGTAAGTTCTACAAAGTGGTAGTTAGACCGACTATGTTGTACGGGACGGAGTGTTAGCCAGTCAAGTACTCTCATGTCCAGAAGATTAATGTAGCGGAGATGAGGATACTGAGATAGATGTGGGAATACCAGGAGAGATATGGTCAGGAATGACGATATTCGGGACAAGGTAGGCGTGGCCTCCGTGGGGGACAAGATACGTGAAGCGAGACTGAGATAGTTCGGGCATGTGACAAGGAGATGCCCGGATGCTCCTCTAAGGAGGTGTGATAGATTGATAATGGTGGGTTTGAGGAGAGGTAGAGATAGGGCGAATAAAGTATTGGGGATAAGTGATTAGTCAGGACATGGTACATCTTCAGCATACCGAGGACATGATCCTTGATAGGAGGGCGTGGAGGTCGAGGGTAAAAGGACAGTAGACAATCTTTCCTTTCATTTAACAACTTGTTTGGATGGTTGTTCCTCATTGTATCGTATTGTATTGTTATCCTAAAACAATGTTTGTTTTGATTGTTTCATTAAAATTGGTTGTATTGTATTGTTAAATTCATTGTTCCGGAACAATGAAAAATCCCTTTTTTTAAAACAACCGATTTGGTGTGGTGGGATTGTTTCCTATTTTTCTTTTTAATTATGCCCTAACTTATTACTTCACAATTCTATTTTACACTTTAGCTTTTTTTTTTTTTTTTTTTTTTTCTATTTTAACTCCGAATCTCCAACCTATAACCTACTTTGTTTTTTTTCCAGAACTTCTGCTGCCAACGTTGAAGGTGTTTTACCGCCTTCTGTTTTATTTTTTCTCCTAATTTGCTTTTAACTCAATTCTAATTAGTTGTGCTCCTTTGTTTTGCCTTCTTCCGTCTTGCTCCTTTGTTCTGCTTTCTAAAGGTGTTTTGCCTTCTTTTGTTTTGTTTTTTAAAATTATTTTTATGCATAATTTTTGATAAATTTAATATTTAAACGATTGATGATATTTTTGTAAACTTATCAGTTACAGTACAGTATGATATAGTCAAACCAAATAGCAAAATATTATTTAACAATAATAAACAATGCAATCTACCCAAACATTGTATTCATAAAACGATACGATACAATACAATACATTATAAAACGATGGGGAACAATGATCCAGAGTGTAAGTAGTAGTAGTGTTATCCTCATATTTCAATATTCTTAGATTTTTTCTATTACTACATGGTTGCTTTTGTTCTAGTTTTTTTATTACCAAACCCCACTTGTGGGATTACACTAGGTTATTGTTATTGTTATTGTTTTTTGATGAAGTAAGGCGTTGTATTGCTGACATCAAGAAGATGCAATTAGTACAAAAGAAGAGATGTTAGCTCCAGTACATCATGTGCTATTCTAATCATAGGGAGCTAACCAAAAAAAGGGCCATCAGGCTAGGCTCATTGAGCCAATAAAGTCTAGAAAGGGGATAACATTATTTACAGGGGAGATATTACTCCAACCAAAAAGATACACCAGACATCTAGCTTTCAAAAAGTGAATAGGAGTTGAAATGCCATCAAAACATCTTCGATTCCTTTCTGTCCAAAGACACCAAATCATGCAACCTGGGACTATTTTCCAGATACTTTTGATGGCCTTGCTGACTTTCCAAAAGCTCCAGCTTTCAACTGCTTCCTTAATGTTCTGAGGTAGTGTCCAGCTGATACCAAAAATTGAGAAGAACATGTGCCAGAGATCAATAGCCACTGTGCAATGCAGAAATAGGTGATTGATTGATTCTGAGTTTAGCTTACACATGTGGCATCTATTAACAATCTGGAAGCTCCTCCTACAAAGATTGTCTTGTGTCAAAATAGCACCTTTAAGAGTCGTCCATGCAAAACAGCTGACCGTTGTAGGCATTTTGGTTTTCCAGATTAGCTTCCAAGGCCACATGTCAATAACTTCATTCAAAGCACAAAGTTTATTGTAGCCTGCCTTCACTGTATATGCCCCTTCCTTAGAAGTGCCCCATCGTAGATTATCCGTGTGTTGGATACTCACTGTACAATTTGCTAACCTTCCAAGTAGGTCAAGCACTTCTTCAATCTCCCAGTCTTGTATGTTTCTCCTGAAAAGGACCTCCCAAGTGTTGTTGGATCTATTCTGTGCGACTGTTGAGTTAGGATCAGTAGCTAGGTGGAATAGAGTGGGGAAAGTTTCTTGAAGTGTGAAGTTCCCTAGCCACTTATCCTTCCAAAATTTCACATGTGCTCCATTACCAACTTTGAAGGACACTTCTTGTTGGAAGACTTCCTTTATGCTGTTGATGTGCTTCCAGGGCCCAACCCCATGAGGAGCTCTTATGGTTCTGGTACTCCAATTATCCAGGTGACCATATTTGGCTTTTACTATTTCCTTCCATAAGCTTGTGCCTTCTTGCCCATATCTCCAATGCCACTTCATTAGCAAACTCTTGTTGTGTTTTGAAAGATCTCTAATGCCCAGAACACCTAGTGACTTTGGTTGAGTTACAGTTGCCCACTTCACCAAATGGAATTTGTGACCTTCACTGTTACCTTCCCACAAAAAGGATCTTCTCAATTTGTCCAGCTGCTTTTGAACTTTACTTGGCATAGGGAATAAGGACATGATATAGGTTGGTATGCTGTCCAAAACACTGTTGATCAGAGTCACCCTTCCACCCATTGAGAGATACTGCATCTGCCAAGTTGCTAACCTTTTCTCCACTTTCTCAATCACACCATTCCACACCTCCACTGACTTGTGTTTTGCTCCCAAGGGTAGTCCGAGGTAGGTAGTAGGAAATGAGCCAATGCCACAACTCATTATACCGGCCAGCTCGTCTAAGTTAGGCACCACATTGACAGGATATATCATGCTTTTTAGCATGTTTATGTGTAGACCTGAAATAAATTCAAAAATAAGGAGGGTTAGATTGAGGTACTGCAACTGTAGTTTTTCAGCCCCACATAAGATTAGTGTGTCATTTGCGTATAATAGATGGGAGATTGAGATTGAATTACCTGAGTTGCTGCTTATCTTGAACCCTTGAATCCATTCTAATTGCCTTGCTTTATCAAGCATTTTGCTCAAACCTTCCATTGCTATGATGAAGAGAAAAGGCGAGAGAGGGTCTCCCTGCCTAATCCCTTTCTGAGGGGAGAAAAAGCCAACTGGAGATCTGTTGATGAGGATTGAGTATTTGACAGTGGTTAGACTGAACTTGATCCACCTTATCCATCTTTC